ACTGAACCACTCGGGCCGATGCTCTCGAGATAGCTTTGTTTTATTATCTGTTATTTTTAGAATAACAACTTTGTGAAAATGATAAAATTGTTAGTAGTGATGAGATACGACATAACTTGTTTATTTTTCGTGTTCTATCCTTATTGTATGTATCGGGTTGGCACAAAAGTAATGAGACACTTGGTTTAAGTTTTTACTTTTTTATTATTACTACAATAAAAAAAGTTTAGTCAATGATGTAATTACCATTAGTATCTAAGACTTCTTGCCAACGATCCGGCAAAGTTTGGATGCCTTTTGCCCAGAACTCTGATGGCTGTGCCTCGAAAAAGAGTTGGTCAGAGAAATCATTAAATTGTTTACCCCGCAAATGCTGTTTCAGGGCTCTAAACAAATGATAGTCTGATGGGGCGAGGTCTGGGGAATAAGGTGGGTGGGGTATCGTCTCCCAGCCCAAGTTCTCCAACTGCCGGCGAACCACAGATGCGACGTGATGTCGAGCGTTATCGTGCAGTAAAACTATATTGACTCATCTTCGTCGTTTTTTCTTGATAGCGGCAGATAATTTGGTAAGCTGGGTTGAATATTTGTCAGCGTTTATAGCTTCATTGTGTAATAGCTCATAAAACAGTATTCCTTGCGCATCCCAGAAACAGCAAAGCAGAATTTTTCGGCGGTTCTTTTGACTCGGCTTCGGTTGAGTTGGTGGCGTTTCTTCTCGAGGCAGCCAAAAAGCACGACGTGTATCGTTCTCGTAATAAATCCATGATTCATCTCCAGTAACCAGATCTGACAAAAACTCTTTACGTCGGGGTCGCAGCAAAAGTGACTGACAGATAGCGACACGGACTGCACGACTGGCGTCTGTAAGGATGTGCGGTACCCACCGAGCCAAAACTTTTCGATAACCAAGCTCATGCAGATGGTGTTCCACGGCGTAGTGACTGCATTTAAGTGCTTCCGCTAATTCACGAGTGGTAGCATCCGGATTCAACTGCAGTTCGTGGCGCAAATCGTCATCATTCACTGCGGGTGGTCGCCCTGAGCGTGGCTGACTTTCAAGGCTCCTGTCTCCTGATTTAAAACGGTCAAACCATCGGGACACCGTCGCATGGCTTGTACTTCCAGCGCTTAATGCATTGTTGATATTGTCAGCCGCAGCCCGCGCACTGTGGCCTAACAAGTACTCGTATAAGTATAGTGTTCGAACTTGTCGCTCGTTCATTTTTCTTCAAACTGACTAAACAAATCGCGAGCGCGGCTTTATATACCCTACACCAGAAGTACTTAGAATGTTCTACAACATTCTAGAATATTATCGAAAAAATTGATTTTAAAAAGGAAATGGTATAGATTTTTCTACTGTGTCTCATTACTTTTGTGCCAACACAATATATTATGATTTTGTAGAAATTACACGCATATATCTATATATACATATTAGACGTGTGCGCCGCGCCGCGCCGATGACTGACGCCGCCGATCATGACACGCCGCCGCTGACCGGTTAGAAAGATCGGCGTAAACGGCGCGGGATGGCACGAACTGCTAGTAACGTTCGTTTGCTCGGTTGCTAAGCAACGCAGTGCATTCTCTGCGGCACGTGTTAATTCCGTTCCATATTTCCATATTTAGTAAAATTTTAATGAATACAAAAATAAAGTCAATGATCAGATGCAAACAAAAAATAATCGAATCTTTCTTCTTTAGTTACAGGTGTCAACAATGAAATCATTTAATGTAGCACTCGTTTACAAGATGGAGTTGGCAGAAATCAAAAATTCAATACTTACCCCTATTTGTCTACTCTAGTTAACCCGCTACAAGCACACTTAGCGAACTTGTATTCTCTGTAGCTGGCCTTACTAAAATGGTTCAACGCTTGTGTCTAACTGGGAATAATATCAATTAAATAATTTCTATATGATAACTATTAGGTTCGGGAAAAAGTCTTTTCGCATAAAGTTGTAATAAAATCTTTCTGGCTATACCATTTCAATGTGGCTGGTTGCGGTATCATTAAAAAGTTTGAATTTTAAAGAAGATTTCGAATTCAAATTAGGAAAATGTGTGGTTTTCATTTGTTTTTCTAACTGCTGATAAAAACTGAATCACGTATGACAAGAACATGCAGAAAAATCGTGGTCAAAGGTCGGTCAGGCTTTACAGACTGTGGTGAAACTTGGGTTAACTGGCAAAAAGGTGATGCTGTTTGTATGGTGGGATTGGAAGGGTATTATTTATTATGATCTGTTACCGTCAGGCAGCATCATCGATTCTGAACTCTACTGCGAATAACTGATGAGATTAAAGCAAGAAGTTGAGAGAAAGCGGCCAGAATTAATCAATAGAAAGGAAGTGGTTTTATTCATTAAATTAAGAGTTTGGCTGGAAGGTTTTAATGCATCTGCCGTGTAGTCCTGACCTTGCATCTTCAGATTTCCACCTGTTTAGGTCTCCTCGGAATTCTTTAGGCAGTGTCAGGTTAACATCACGCGTGTGACGATACACGCTTGATGTTAACCTGACACTGCCTAAAGAATTTTGTGGCGGTTTCTTGATTTGAAGCCCCAAAATTTCCCTACCTACCTACAAGATGGCAAAAAGTTATTGAACAAAATAATACCTACATATTGTTGTTTAATATCATTTTACTACAATACATAATTTAGAAGAGTATAGTTGTGCCATATTTGATTGTTACTTAAAAAGTGTTATTAGTTTTAGTAGCTTTTATATTTGTTATGTCAATAAAGGCATTCTGAATTGTTAAACTTTTAATTTTCCATCATTCGACATAACGACGCCGTTTACGCCGCCATTTACGCCGCCGCCACTGAATTTTTAGCTCCACGCCGCCGCCGAAGATTTCGGCATCGGCGCACATGCCTAATACATATATATATGCGGGTATGTCGGCGGGTAGTCCGAAGGGGCTATTACGAAGCCCAAATAGATCGTCCATATCGGACTATCTTTTAAATAACACTGCAGGCGTGTATACCAACGTGGATTTGTTCCATTTTATCACTTTTCATACGAAAATATCACGAGATCGGAAACAGAATCTGTGCCAAAATGGCGGCAACTTGTTTTTTGTTAACGAACTGTCAAAGTCAGTGTCACCATTCTAATAAAACTAAAAGTATCGATGATCACGCTCTCTTTACAATCGAGTAATTAAGTAATCGAGTAACTAGCAATTAAAATAAAAGAAACTAAATCAAACGATCTTCGTAAAGATGATGCGACACGGCCATTCTGGGAGACGGTGCGTGTTCTGCGCCAGTCGCGTTTCTGTAACAAAATAGAAGAGCTTTTCTGAGCTAGGTATCTGCAAACCTAGGCATTTGGGAATTTTGATTCGTACTAGATTTCGACTATCATTTCTGAAACATCTAATTTATTACCAACGGGTATTTTATCACAATTGTTATAAAAAATGTAGTTAAGTTAGCACATGATTACATGTGCTAACTTAACTACCGTTAATAAATTATTATTAACGCATGGAAGTTGTATAGGAAAATGAGCTGTTTTATCAAGTATATTTGGTCAATGCAAATGCTCCACGCATACTTGCATTGATTATTGTACTCGTAGCAAGTATGATGCTGTAGTCATGAGCGGTCCTGTACGCCGTGGTCTACAGTGGCTCAAAAGGAGATGGGGAAAAGTTGATGCTGGGGTCTGGGTCTCTGGGTCTTACATAAGACCGTGGTCCCCAGAGGTTCAAAAACAAAAACAGATTGGTCATTACAAATGCTCCACGCATACTTGCATTGATTATTGTACTCGTAGCAAGTATGATGCTGTGGTCATGAGCGGTCCTGTACGCCGTGGTCTACAGAGGCTCTAAGGGATATGAGAAAAGGTCGATGCTGGGGTCTGGGCTTTAGTTATGACCGTGGTCCCCAGAGGCTCTGTGAAACGACTTAAAAGTTGGGAAGTTCATAGGATGGGATTTATACAGTCTTTTAATAAGAAATTTTTGATCGTTGAATTGAACTTTCATGAAAATATTATCTCTCTATCAACAAGCGAGAAGTATAGAGTACCTAACAATAACACTAAACATTTACTAGGCATCCAATTGATATGCAGCGCGGTAGATTCTTTTCTCGGTCAGTTCTGACTTCAACTAAAGCAAGATTTTGAAACCAATCGAAACTTTAATAATTAGAGACCGCTTTTACTTCAAGTTTCATTAGTAATAAGAATTTAAGAGTTGATAAATCCTATCATCAAATCTTATTTACAATGAACGCATGCATAAACAACAAACTGGTTTGAGAACCTCGATTGCACCACTTAACCAGCAATGGAATCGCACTTTTTCAATTTTATTTTCACTTAACTTAGAGTGTTACTATTTCGATTGCCATGAATTCTTCACGATATTAATTACTTTATAAGGGAGCACTCGACTCCAGTATCATAACAAAATAAAAATGACTCACCAAAATGCTACAAAATTCGTGCTATACTAGGAAATTTTGTATTATTGTATTGTATGGTTTGTTTCTGTAGCTGTGCCTTTAATAAATAAATATGTTTGCTTTGAACGTGTAGTAGTATGCCTTTCGTATGTTTACGCTTTGCAATAACTACAAATCTCATTACATTTCTTTTTCTTAGATTCATTTCGATTACTGCCTTTATTAAAACAAAGGTAAGATGCGATTTTATGTTCTCATTATCAATCGTGTTTAAATTTGGAAAGTTTGAGTAGAATATAAAAAGAGAGCAAATACAACTGAACAATCCAATTTTTGCTAATACCCAACCCACGGTATTACGTAAAATCGTTCGGTCGCAGAATGCAATGCACATATACGCCATAGCTTCTTCCCTTTCCAACATCACAAAGGGCATTTAGATTTGGGCATTTAAAGAATTCTATGTCTTTCTGCATATAAGTTTTTGTTTCCAAATTTCCTGTCTTATAATATATTAAACGAGCGTCATACTAAACGCGTGTTGTGTATGTTTGTCAACAGACGTAATCGTCACCGCTTCGTCTAACAACCGGCACAAGACTGATCCTGTGATACCTATAATAGAGGCCTCCGCCGCCACCAACGCTGACAATAACCACTGGGCATTTATGGAGAACGAGCACACCTTTTATAAGGACACTTTTTCAAAGTAAGTTAAAGCGAAGAGGGAAATCTGATTTTAGTTTTATTTCTCCTTCATTAATATTTTATCGTGACGAGAAACTTGCCATGAACCATCGTTAGATTTTAATGTTAGCTGAACGAGTAAATGTACTATTTGAAAATGTAATTCCGCAGTTCTGTGCAACGTTAGATCAGCTCTTTTTTATTCATATCCTTGATGTCATTCTACGTGTATATATTTTCGGTATTGCAATCGATCTCTACTCGAAGAAAAATAATAGTGATAGCAATAGTTTCGTTTAAAGCAAAAGGGTCTTAGCCCATTCAGCCTAATCTTTCATGTTATTAGCATTTTGTTTTCACTAAAAAGTTTTAATATGAAGGAATGCAGAGAAGTCCGCTCGATTTTATTTAAAAAGGGTCTCAAAAGTTGCGTATAAATATTTAGATTGTTATTTATTTTATTTTACCTTTTCAACCCTCTACTGGACTTCAAAGTTTTAATAAAAGTATATTTAGTACTAAACTATGGTTATTTACTAATTAAAACGTAGTTTTAAGGAAAAAGAATTTTGATTTATTTTGATCTTTTGTTATCTTTATCTAACAAAAAATATACATATTTCAACCTTACAGTCAAACCAAGGCGTTATTGATACGGATTAAAATTGCCTCTGTTACTAATTTGACAGATCTTTCTACAGCCTGCGTATGTTACAGAAGTGTGAATAAGCGTGTACAGGGAAATAATGTGCAAGTTACATCTATTGGAAACTTTCTCTCTGCATCATGTCAAAGTGGTATCAGATGTGTGGCTTAAAATTTGCGATTTAGTGACATCAGATTCAGCCCATATTACTATATCGATATAATCGTTTGCATTGAAGTTAAGTTTTGGAAATTTAAATACTCTGAGAGATCTGACACTCTTTTTCAATAATTTTTCTCAATGTAAGTACACCCCCAAACCTTTTTTCATCAGTAATCATAGCAAATAACAAATTCTTAGGATGAGCGAAGAAAGCATTTCCTTTGAATAACAAGGTCAATTACATATTTAACTGTTTCATTGAAATATCAGTAGAATTGTATCAAATTGAAAATATGCTGTGGGCCATCTTTGTAATTAGACTTTTGTTTTATCTAAAACCAAGTTGGAGTGTATGACTTAACAATGTATTCTACGAGTATTTTTTAAGTATGAAACAACTACCTCAAAAGTAACTCTTTGACGTGTAGTTGGCATATTAACCTTATTACGTTCCTTATTACGCTCTACGTATTTTATTTTTGTTTTGCCCTAAATATCGTAGGTCTGCTAATATAATAGAAACTCCATATCGATCACAAGTGTCTGTAAATTTTGGTAGTTTTAAAGTATTGTAAAATATTCTCCAGTTCGAAATTCCATATGTGTTGAAAATTATTACATAAATCAAAAGTTAGTTAGTTGTATTCTAACATACACGTACTATGAAATTTATCTACCCAGTCAAAAATTCTTAGAATTGGCAAGTAAACAGTTTTTTTTTTCGACGAATTTTTTTTTAAAAGACCAAATAAAACAAGAACAAGTAAAAACAAACATTTTAAAGTGATTTGATATTTAGATGAGAAATATCTATTTTTGTGTTATTTAGGCTTCGGTAGAGGGCTAAAAGATGTATCGAATATATTTTTTGTAATACTATGCCAATAACGCATATATATAAAAGATTTATTTGTTTTATAAAAACAAAGAAATCTTTTATAAAATCGACCCACCCTAGTGCCCACGCTAACTTCGTGTACCATTTTTCTTGTTTGTGTTATTGAATTATATTGTATTTACCTATATGACACCTCTTTATTAACTAACGATTAAACATAAAATAACTGGAACGTCACAATGAATATGAGTCCAGCCACGGTCCATCGACTGTTGCAGAAGTGTGAATTTGCGTGTACGTGTTCTATTCCAGGTAGGGGTGGTCCATGCCCCACGCGGCGCCAGTAACCGCCATGTCGGCCCCGCCGCGCCACCCACACTTCTACACAGTCGAGGTCGGAGACACACGCTTCACTATACTCAAGCGCTACCAGAACCTCAAACCCATCGGCTCCGGCGCACAAGGCATCGTCTGGTCAGACACCATTTTTATTTTAATTATGACAACTCATAATTTTTTGTATTCTATTGCCAGTTTGTTGGAATTATTGTAGAGTAATGATTTTAGATAGAATGTTAAATAATAGTACTTTAGTTTTAACAAGTATAAGTACGCGGTTTTCTTTGGGTAAATAATGAAATTGCAAAGGAATTTAATTTTTTGTTGCAATATCAATGTAGTCTCTTCTAAGAAATACGCTGCAATTGTTGTCTGTATCTCTTCCTACGGCTTTCTTTTTCTATTTATTTATACATGACACCGCACGTTATGTCTTGGCATGCACCAGCACTGTTCAGTTTGCACATTCGTTAAGTATAATCTATCAGAAATATGTAAAATACGCTTGAAAAATGTTTTATTTAAAGTTACTACATGTTATGTCAGCACGCTTACCAATTATGAAATTCAACAGTACATAGGTATTATACGTTACACGATAATTCAAATCGGAAGGAGTAATCTACCTTATCTCAAATTTGTCTTACGATGCCGGGATTGTTTGACTCTTCAAGATTGCGGACGGATTTTGTTAAGGAAAAAGATAATTGTACCTTTTTTGGAGAAGGGGAATGTAATTTCATACCTCGCTGTACCTTGCGAGGTGGGTGGGGTTATAGACTCTCACCTGCGGTGACGATAATCCAAAGATGCGACTAAAATATTTCCCGGTACTTGTTACACGTATCACATGTTCACTAACTTTTTCATCTATTTTATGAGAAACTATGAAAATGTTTACATATTTCTGATAAAACTTTCTAGTTTATAGACACATCTTGCATAGTTGCACAGGAGTAGTTCAGCACAGCTTTCTATTGAACTTTGCAAGTTTCCAAACTTTGCTATTAAATTTTCTGTATACCGAAGCTTAACTTTTATATCACAACATTTACAAACTTTAATAGCGATTGAATAGAAAAAGAAGTCATTCAGGTAATTTATAGGTACTATTATTATCATATTAAACAAGTTCATTTAATTTTTACTTATATATTAGCAAACTCATAAAAAAATCTAACCGCATCCCCAAGGCCTTATAATTTCGTGGAACACCGCAGGAACACTTCACCTGGGAAAGTCGTCAGTTTCCAGGTTTCCTCAAATCAGCGCAGCAATGCCGAGGCAGACGTCCAATATCCCAAAAACTGTGTTTCTGTTGTAGCTGATCGAGTTGTAGCGATGGTACAAACGTTTTACTCTGTCGCGCTGGGCGACGTCGTGTTCTGCGTGCCCACGCGTTACACGGAGCTAGTGCCGCGCGGCACCGGCGCGCAGGGCGTCGTATGGTAAGGCGCCCGCTACACGCACGCCAAATCGGACCCTAACCACCTCACAACAGAGGACGTAGTCGAATACGGCGACACATGTCACGTTTCGTACACTACGCCTGAAGGCACTAACATCCTCCGCGATAAGAAATCTGCGTTGCTTGAAGACTGACATCGCTAAAATAAATATTAGTCTGTGTAGTGACTAAGCGTTGAGATTAATAGTGATGCATAAAAATTTCACTACAATATACGTGTGTGTGTGTGATATAACGAATAAGAATCACAGACGTTTTCAATAGTAACATTTGTATGCTATGACTCTACATGATCTTGTTTAAAATAAAGTAGGTAATATTTTATAACACTTATTAACTTCCTGAATAAATACTCGTAATGCTAAGTGTAATAATAGTATCTGTTATCAAAGACATTACAAAGACGTGCGATTTTACAGTTCTCCAAGCTACATAAAAGGGTTTTGGCGTTTTTGAAAAGCTTTAGACTATAAAAGTAGTAGGTTTACGCATAAGTGTGTATGTGTGTGTTTTTTGTGGATACGACTCTTTACATTAACTTATGTCAATTCAGAGGTTTTAATTATTGTCCAACATACACATATTGCATAACTTTAGGCAATTAGAATGCCAACCATTTATCGGAATATTTCTGGATGAAATAATAATGTATCAAGCTAGGTGATCGTATTATTACTACCTGGAAAGCGATTTCAGGTGTATCCATATACCACAATGGGTGTGTTGAAAACAATTATCAATTTCAAGTTAGCGATGCAGACCGAAGCATCTTATTGTCACCTCACGAAAGGTTTACATTTATATTCTTCAGTCTTCCTATTTCGTATATCACAAACACATTCCTCGATAGTTTAATCCTTTGAGTGTCTTGAGTGGAGATTTGAATTCTAATGAGACCATAGTTTTACTTCTAGTTATAAACATTTCACTAACTAATAAAACTGACTATTAATAGAGAACACCTGCTGAATTACAATAACCTTTTCTGTTACGTCTTTTGTTTGTTTTTATATTATTTTGGGGGTGTTATGTAAAGAACAATTTAATAACAAAGATTGAATTGTGGCCGCCAGCGACTTCGTCCGCGTTTTCCGTTATTTCTTCGCTCCCAATAGTTGCAGCGTGATGTTATATAGCCTAAAGCCTTACTCGATAAATGGCCTTTTCAACACAAAAATAATTTTTCAATTCGTACCAGTCGTTCATGAGATTAGCGCGTTCAAACAAACAAACTCTTCAGCTTTATAATATTAGTATAGATAATTAAGCGAGTTAAAAATACTTTTATTATATATACAGTCACATAATGGGATACATTCCATTATGTGAGTGTTTTCCTCCAACCTGCAATGATCAAGTGGACGCACGAGCGTCTTTTAAATTTCATTGTGGTATGTACGAGTACATATAAAAATCCACCCGCCAAAGGAAAAATAAACCGTTAATATTTTTTAAATAAATAATTTTTATTAATTTTGGATTAAATCCATACCCCATCCATTAAAATTTTAATTTTTAACTAGCTTTAACGTTGCAGTCAATTTACGATGAGACTGCACTTAGTGTTATTCAAAATTCATATTATTAAACAGTGATTAGCAAAGGTTAACCTAGTACGGGGTTCTACGGGAGTAATATTCACTTCTGGTTTGCTTATTCTCTGTATAATATGAATTTTGATTAATACTAAAATTCCAATTTTAGCTTAAATTTACTCTGACGCTAAAGTTTATTAATAGCACTGTTAAAGTTTAATTTGCCTATAATTGTAAACCTTCTTGAGCTAGAAAATGTAACATAGTTGCTTTCACAAAAGATAGACTTAAAGTAATATCAAATATGGACTACAGCCGAGGCAGCACTGCGATTAATCGAACACGGATTGTGTAGGCTGAAAACGTTAGACCGCTTACAGAACGTTTCACGTATCCAGTCGTCAAAAAGGAAGTTCATATTTTACATTTTTTGCGGGTCTTCGATTTTTTTTTTCAAGATTGGAAATTTTATTCTACGTTTTAGGTCAGTTTTGCATGTGTTTATTATATAACTGCGTGTGTGCATGTCTCAATAATATTATGTGTGTAGCTTCTTTCTGCCTGTGTTTACTGCTTGTAAATCTATTTCATTGTTTATGAGTGTCATTTTGTAGCTTTTATGAGTGTTTTATAGGCTTGCGCTTATTATATGTGCTCAAAACATTATGTAAAAGCATTTTCATTCAAATTAAATATTTATTCATCTCAATGTAGACTTGTTCAAACAAGAAAATGAGAAGCTGTTGGTATTGTATACGTATAAAGTTATAAATAAGTATTGCTTGAATTAATCGCTTCCAAAACTGCATTTAAATATCCTATTCTAAGATTTGACCTAAATTCTAAAATTTTTAATAACGTTTGTGAAACTTGAAGGTTTTGTCATAATTATTTCGATGTGATAAGAATATCTCTGTCTACATGGTAGTAAGCATCACTTACATATATTAATATTTTTTTAAAATGTTATAGGCACTCGTATATATACGAATGTGAATGATTAGGAATGTTTTAAGTATTTACAGTGACAAGGGAGAGGGAATGATTCAGCTTTTTATTTGTAACAACATATACTCAACAAGCGTGATGCAAGTATTTTGATCGTTAAACAGTGGTGCAACTTTATACAGATTTTATTAAAATACATGTCGTAATCAATGTTAACAACGTGGTAAATAACTAGATAGGCGATATTCTGGTGTGTTAATATGTGCAAACTTAACAACGTTTTCCATTGCGTGTTACATTATCAATAATGAGTGTGTGTTTTTTTGTAGCGCGGCGTACGATACGGTGACGCAGCAGAATGTCGCCATCAAGAAGTTGTCGCGGCCGTTCCAGAACGTCACACACGCGAAGCGAGCATACCGCGAGTTCAAACTCATGAAACTGGTCAACCATAAAAATGTAAATATAATCGTATATATGTACTCATTTAAATTAGAAAAAAAGGAGCTGGAACATTAGACGACGGATCTGTGAACGAAACGGAGTTTATGTAATGAACGTATAGCTAAAAAATATAAAAGGGTATTTTCGAGAAATTAATAGATGGCTCACATCAAACTCTATGCCTGATTTAGAGTTTAATTGAGTCATATTTTTAAAATGATCTAATCAATGAACCGTACTTTTTTTGTATTATTTAAAGTAAAAACAATTGCCAAAAACTAAAATCTTGAAATCGGGACTAGTGTGATCCGACCGAAGTTTTCCTAACAGAAATTCGAGAGATGAAAAGAATTTCTCCGCTCATGCCTCCTGTTGTCTCGTATTCCAGATAATCGGTCTTCTAAACGCGTTTACGCCGCAGCGAAGCCTAGAGGAGTTCCAGGACGTATACCTGGTGATGGAGCTGATGGATGCTAACCTCTGCCAGGTGATTCAGATGGACCTGGACCATGAGCGGATGAGCTACCTACTTTACCAGATGCTCTGCGGAATCAAGCATCTGCATCTTGCCGGTATCATCCACAGGGTGAGTGTCATTTTTTTTGGGTTTGGCTTGCATGGTGTTTAATTTCCATAAACATGTGATCACAATATTAGGGATGTAGTAATGTAATATAATCGATATTGCGTGGTGATATCTATATGAATGATCGGTGCGTTCGCAGGACCTGAAGCCGTCCAACATAGTGGTGAAGAGCGACTGCACGCTAAAAATCCTCGACTTCGGACTGGCGCGGACAGCCGGCACCACATTTATGATGACACCGTACGTCGTCACACGATACTACAGAGCACCAGAGGTAACGTTAATATGTCCGGTCCGCAGTGTTATCTAGTCAGGCTTTACACTAAACTGTAATTGGCGTTCTACGTTGTATCTGTAGATAGAGATTAATCGATACCACAAATACTCAAGACTAGTATCGATATCACGTTCGATACGTGAAAAACTATACTAATATTCGCTTTATATAATTAAGGTCTAGAGAATCTCAGAGAAATATTTTAAGAAATAAATATTTTGACTATTGCCTCTCAATACATCTATGAAAATATTATGTACGCGATAAAAAATTACAATTCCTTCACAAAAAAGTAGTGTTCATAATCTTAACACAAGAAATAAAAATAAACTTGCCGTTCCAAGCTTCAGACTTCAGAAAACCAGAGGATCATTTCTGGCTAAATGCATTGCTATGTTTAATAAAGTTCCACAAAATTTAATTGACCTACCCATAAATAAATTTAAAATTTATGTAAAGAACATACTTATGAGTAAAGATTATTGCATGGAGCTTTATTCTATAACGACTAATTATATGTACCAACCTGTGTCCTACAGACCTTGAAAGTTGTATTTACGAGTATTGTTGTTATAATACGTACTATTTTGGTAATGACATGATTAATGTAAATGTCATTAATAATGATAAAGAGTTGGTAAGTTTCTGTCGCTTGTTCTTCTTGTTTGCTGAAAGACGTCCTGAACAAGTGGTAGGGGAAAAGATTATGTTGGATATATGGATGATTTTGGGAATATTATTAATATTTTTTTGCCTCGGCGAACCTAAATACATGGAACAAATACTCACAGAGAGAACATCCTATTGAGCGGTGTCGTGTTGGCAGGTGATACTGGGCATGGGGTACACGGAGAACGTGGACATCTGGTCCGTGGGCTGCATCATGGGCGAGATGATACGGGGAGGCGTACTGTTCCCCGGCACCGATCACATCGACCAGTGGAACAAAATCATAGGTCAGTTGTACTCTTTGTTTATTATTACATGTCGTTCTGTTAATCTTTAAGGCAAATTAGGTGCATACCTAAAAATCTGTGAATGCAGTTCAGAATCAGATATTAAGAAAAACTAAAGAAAGTACTAAAAAGCGCCTCACTAAATAGTGACTCTACCAGAATTTTTGCAGGAAATGAATGGACCAAAGATAGTCATTTCCGTTCCTTTTAACTAACATATTAAAAAACTGAAATTTGCAAAGTTGGAAACTTAGATATCAATACGAAGAAGTACAAATAGACTATGATTTATTTATTGAGTTTTGAAAATTAGTTTACTTTTATAAATAAAGAAAACCGGAAGGGTTGTCATGGAGAAATCAAGAAAGCACCGTAGCGACATCTAGTTTGATTTCGGGAACTAATGTTTTGTTTTAAATGCTTCCTCATTCTATTGATATCATGTTTTGTATAAAAATACAAAACGAGATTGGTCGATTATACTTGTCTCAGATATTACTATCAGTATTTCATTTTGAAACCCATTTCACTTGTGCCACGATACGGTAATACCAATTCAAGGTTAATCAAATGTCACTTTCGAAGTGAATTCGAATTCGGGTTCGGATTTTTTGCAGAAGCACTCCCCTGATCTCAGTAAGCTGTCTTAAAAATATGCTTTCCCGCTCGTGCAAACTGGCCTACCTTCAAGCACACATAGCCGCGAGCAAATGGCTGTTGCAAACACACACGCACTGTGGTCTGTTACGTAATATACAGGGTTACTTATAAAACATAGTAACATAACGTTTAGAACGAAAATATTTTTTCAATTTTTTATTGTTGTTCTGTTCAATCAATGATGTGAGGTCAATGATATTACAAAGAGTAAATAGGTTATGCAAGTACAGACATGATGTCAAAAATTGTCCCCAGCATACGCTCATGACACGATACACTCCAAATATTCATAGACTAAAATTTAACACGTCACAGACCAGTCTTACAATGATTCAATGCATGTTTAATGCCTACGTTTATCTAAATGAGTTAAAGATGATGATATCTAGCATTACTCTATTATTTCTCCTTGTCGTTGGTGTATATATTATTTGCCTATGTATAAATAATGAAGATTTTCAAGGGATAAAATAAACCTGACACTGATATATAATATGTATAATAACACGAGGGCTTCGATCGAAATCAGAATTGGAGTATTTTTCAGTTCCGTAGTTACGATTCAATGCTCCGAATTAAAACTCCGGAAATAAATGTGAGATAGTGCGTGCGCACTTAAATTCGAATTATACGTTTTGTTACTCACATAGTCTTTGACAGATCTCTTTAACATTTTGTTACCGGATTATTCACTCTTTCTTCTTATGACACAATATATATAATAATAAGAATCAAATGTAACCCTTTGATCTTTAAACGAGTTACTTGTGCGGTTTCTACATTTTCACATAACATAGAACGGCATATAAAGTAACACAATGAGCGCTATCGGCAGATAGCTAAATATGTGTGTATGTGTGTGCGTATGGGCGTGTGCAGAGCAGCTGGGCACGCCGTCGGCGGCGTTCATGGCGCGGCTGCAGCCCACCGTGCGCAACTACGTGGAGAACCGCCCGCGCTACACCGGCTACAGCTTCGAGCGGCTCTTCCCCGACATCCTCTTCCCCACCGACAGCAACGAGCACAACAGGCTCAAGGTGCGTACTATACGTAGTGCCGCTCTACGATCCGGTGCGCTTTATATTGGCCGTGCGATGAAGTGAAGTGCTATGTGTGGCAGGCGTCGCAGGCGCGGGACTTGCTGTCGCGCATGCTCGTCATCGACCCCGAGCGGCGCATCTCCGTGGACGAGGCGCTGCTGCACCCCTACATCAACGTCTGGTACGACGAGGGGGAGGTCAACGCGGTCAGTCATACTTTTTTTTCTATTTAACATTGAGGAATAAGCGTAACCAAAAAATAATGTGATACATTTCTTTATTATTTCCACGAGTAAAATAGTTATGGGACTTCAAGTTCCGCTCGATATAGTAATTTCGCTTCACGTGGTACCTCATCGTTTGACCGCAAGGACGCGGCTCATTGGTATTATAAGTTCGTTTTTGAGCATCGCCTGCGTCTTACAATCGCGTTTTGGTTGTTTCTCGATGGAGGCCACCATAAATATTATATTTTTAATGTATTGTGCCTATGTATTCAATTGCAACAATAACAAACCATAATAAAATAGTTTTAAATAAGAAAACGAAAAAATGATAGTGTTTAATAGAAAGGCTAACCACAAAACAGACCAAAAGAGGTACCTACTAACAATTAGCTATGCTAATAGTTTCAGAATAAAATGGCTGTGACGTACTGGACGACTCACAGGCAGATAGACACAACGTTGATGAATCTATAAGAATTCCAAAATTTATCGACTAAATGCAAGCTCATTTACATTGGTCGATAGGGCCCGCATGCGGAGTGCGACGATTTTTGTACTTATTTGCATTAGTATTTGACTGAAACTGAAAGAGTTAGGGCGCTTGTGCACTACACTGAATTTTCATGTCCGGCGGTCCGATTTTTTCAGGTCCGATATGTCAGGCCATATATAGGTAATGCTAGCCTGTGCACTGTCAGGAATTTTACCGTCCGGGATTTTACTTTTCACTATTCCGGACCGGTTTTTTCAGGTCCGAGATGGCGGCAATGAAAAACGTGTTTACGCTTGTGCACTGCTGTGTCCGCGATCCGGAAAATTCATAAGGAATAGGCTTGGGAAAAATAATCGATTTGTGTATAATCGATATTTTTCCCAAGCATATTTTGGCGATATTGTTAATTTCCAATAAAACTTATAATCGATATTTATTGTAGATTATAAAATGCTATATTTTATATGATGATTTAATATAGTTGGTAAATATCACTGCATATGCTTTGGCAAACTCGGTATAGTTCTAATTTGATCAGCGTATGGTTCTAGTATCGATACTTAGCTAGATTTTAGAATCGTATTAATAGTATCGATAACTTAAGATAAGATAAATAAGTGTTGTTACGCTTAGACGCCTAAACAACTGAACCCATCTTAATGGAAATTAATAAAGTAAATAAACTGAACTTTAAGAAAGGATATAGGTTACATTTTATCGCAAAAGATAGGGGATGAAAGTGGAAATTTGTCATTATCAAAATTTTTTTAGACAATTGATAAGTATAGATAAATATTTGATAACAAAAGTAATAATAAAGAATAAACAGATGATTAACAGAATTAACTAAGTGACACTCAATGTCTTTTTCGCATTTAAGTCTATATTGTAATAAAATTTGAAATGACTAAAAAAAAGTATTCGAAAAATTACACAAACGAAAGAGAAATTAAAAAAAAAGTATTCTAAGGGAAAAATATTTCTGCTCAAAGAAACTACACCACGCGTATAAAATTATCTCTATATATAATACAGTCAATTGATCTCGTAAAGTCCATCTAGCATATTAATTCTCCGCTTACACGGCACTAATTTCGATTTGTTTACGAAATGACGCCACCGATTGGTCTATCTCTGTAATCGCTTAAAGTTGTTTTTACAAAACTTCGAAAAAAAAGTACGTTTATAAATTTAAATATCCAGTACTAACCCATTATCAGTAATTTTATTCTTATGTCACAGATATTTTTAGCTATTGTATGTGAATAATGCTGTTTCTAAATTAGTAAAGGTATAAGTTTTTACATCTGATAGTGGTCATCCAATAGTATTAAAAAAAATGCTTTCGTCTTGCCATAATTTATTATGGTTTATGTAAAATTATCAGGTCATTATTTAGGTACCTTTCTACGTCTTCTAACGTAATTACCGACATTCCAAAAATCTCATCGTATCTAGCGTAAGTGACGTGTAGCTTCAAAGAGAGCTGCCCTACACTGCGCCGCTCCGATCAGGAAAAAAACGGACAAGTGCACAAGCTACTCATCCGGGTTTTTCATGTCATTCCGGACCGGAAAAAATCGGACCGCCGGACCTGAAAATTCAGTGTACATATACTTTCAAAAGTATTCGATTGCGTTAGAGCATTATGGTGTGTCAAAAACTGCACTAAATTTTCTGCTAGAAATTTAAAAATTGTATTTGATGAAGAGAAATTAGCAGAGCCACCTATCTAATATGCTCTTTCCATTGTTCTGTATTGGTTTGGTAATAATAATTTGAAGCTTAAGTCAAATAAAACGAAAAGCATAAAATTTACATTACCCTAATTTGAGGCGAGTGAGTAAACTTATAAAAAATCTGCCCCTGTCTATGTACTTTGCGGCCAGAGTGAGTGCATTGTTGTCAGTCAAGCGACCCGTATTGTGACAGTCGCCGCCTGTTTGTTCCGCAGCCGGCGCCGGCGTCATACGACCACTCGGTGGATGAGCGAGAGCACACGGTGGAGCAGTGGAAGCAGCTCATCTACCAGGAGGTGGTGGAGTACGCCGCGCCCCCGCCCCCGCCCCCGCATCAGCCGCCCCCCGACCACGCTGCCCCCGCGCTCACCACATAGGTACCTACACTACACTACACTACACTACACGGTGCAGCAGTGGAAGCAGCTCATCTACCAGGAGGTGGTGGAGTACGCCGCGCCCCCGCCCCCGCCCCCGCATCAGCCGCCCCCCGACCACGCCGCCCCCGCGCTCACCACATAGGTACCTACACTACACTACACTACACTACACGGTGCAGCAGTGGAAGCAGCTCATCTACCAGGAGGTGGTGGAGTACGCCGCGCCCCCGCCCCCGCCCCCGCATCAGCCGCCCCCCGACCACGCTGCCCCCGCGCTCACCACATAGGTACCTACACTACACTACACTACACTACACGGTGCAGCAGTGGAAGCAGCTCATCTACCAGGAGGTGGTGGAGTACGCCGCGCCCCCGCCCCCGCCCCCGCATCCAGTGGAAGCAGCTCATCTACCAGGAGGTGGTGGAGTACGCCGCGCCCCCGCCCCCGCCCCCGCATCAGCCGCCCCCCGACCACGCTGCCCCCGCGCTCACCACATAGGTACCTACACTACACTACACTACACTACACGGTGCAGCAGTGGAAGCAGCTCATCTACCAGGAGGTGGTGGAGTACGCCGCGCCCCCGCCCCCGCCCCCGCATCAGCCGCCCCCCGACGCCCCCGCCCCCGCATCAGCCGCCCCCCGACCACGCCGCCCCCGCGCTCACCACATAGGTACCTACACTACACTACACTACACTACACGGTGCAGCAGTGGAAGCAGCTCATCTACCAGGAGGTGGTGGAGTACGCCGCGCCCCCGCCCCCGCCCCCGCATCAGCCGCCCCCCGACCACGCTGCCCCCGCGCTCACCACATAGGTACCTACACTACACTACACTACACTACACGGTGCAGCAGTGGAAGCAGCTCATCTACCAGGAGGTGGTGGAGTACGCCGCGCCCCCGCCCCCGCCCCCGCATCAGCCGCCCCCCGACCACGCTGCCCCCGCGCTCACCACATAGGTACCTACACTACACTACACTACACTACACGGTGCAGCAGTGGAAGCAGCTCATCTACCAGGAGGTGGTGGAGTACGCCGCGCCCCCGCCCCCGCCCCCGCATCAGCCGCCCCCCGACCACGCCGCCCCCGCGCTCACCACATAGGTACCTACACTACACTACACTACACTACACGGTGCAGCAGTGGAAGCAGCTCATCTACCAGGAGGTGGTGGAGTGTCTTATACGGAGAAGTCAATTAACTATTTTTAAATTAATTTAAAATAGAAGAAAATCGACATCTGCAGATATATCATATATACGTATAATAAATTAATTGGATTTTCACGTAATTGCAGGTGCCGCGAGTGGCGGCGGTGAATGCCGCGTGTACATACGAGTGTGCCCGCGCGACGGATCCTCGCGCGGGCGACGAACCCGCGACCGAACCGCGCCTCGTACACTCGCGCGGGCACACATTCGCGGGACGGCTACTTCAACCCGGACCATTGTAAAACCTTATTGCCGTTATTATTTCATAAATATGCAAGTGAACTAATAATTTATGAAACCTATTGTAAAAAAGCTATTTTACCATTAGAAAGGTACGTTATCTGAGATTTAAGCCGACTTCTATTTATTCGAATGATATCAGTTGAAAATGTCCCTTAGCCGTCCCGTCGGTGCGCACTCGCACTCACCGATCTGTTCGTATTATTTCCGAGTTGTTATCTCGTATGTTTCCTTTCTCTAAACTAGCCGAGTGGGGTGCGGTTCGATTCGTTAGGTCGGCGGACGCTTCACCGATTTTGATTTGTTTGCGTAAAGCAGTGCCTTCGCGGGTCTCGCCTGAAGCTCGCGGACTGACTTACTTACAAATATGTTTCGATATTTTTGTAATCGACGCGACGACGTACGTGCGGAATGACGCTCGAGCCCCTGAATCTTGCAATATTTTTTTACACTTTGGACGTTTTCGGTTTTAAGTTTTGTAACGTATGAGTATATTGAATATAATGTAATTAATCTTAATGAATAATAAAGTTGAGCTTAACGACCTGTGTTGTTACGACGTTTCGACATTACTTTAGCGCATCCTTTGTCTTTTTATATTTTGCCCTTTGTCCGGTTGTATATAATCTGTTGATCCTCGATTCTTGCAGAAGTACATTTGGTGTCATCGACACGAAATAAAGTTTCAGAGTTTGCGATAGTCATATTATTAAAATACGAGTGATCTTTGAAATTGTAATATATAATTTCCGTAGTGGGTACACATGGTCGGATTAGTTGGGATTTTGTGATGTTCATAGTTATCTTAGGTAGCCCCTAGTTATGTTGTTGATAAAATTGTATTGATTGTACGAAACTAGATTATTAAGTACATTTCTACCTAAATAGTATCATTATACGCCTCACACGTTGCCTAGCGGAAACGGAATACGTAAACCGTTGTTTTTTTTTACGGTCGCCATTCACTCCGATTGTCGGATTCGAAATATATATATCTCTCTCTCTCTTTGAAGATTAACTTAGGTTTTAATTTACACAGCATAGTTGGAGAATTCTCAATATTTGTACACTAACGAAAGTTGGAGCGGATGGCTCCGTATCGAGCACCGATGACTCGGTACACAGATAGAAACTAATTGTGTAATTAATTTGTCAAATTTGACACCTGACAATAAGTGTATACCCACTCCGACGACAGATAGATTTAACATGTTTGTCAGTTTGTCTATACTCAGTTTTAGTTACATAGTTCTGTCGGGTGGATAATCGATAGAATAACATAAATGTATATCCCGATCGGGACAAAAAATCCAAGATAATAATTGACTATTCTATACAATTGACGTACTTATGCACTAAAATAGTGAAATGCTGTAGGACGTGTTTACAAGTGAAATACAAGATATTATTATAAAGAGAAAGTCTTCGAATGCACCATATACACATATTTGGCGTGTTCTAATGCTTTCACATACCGTTAGCACTATCCTTTATGAATGGGTACCGGTTTTCTGCTATAAATATAGTGTGTACCTAAACGTGTGAGGTATACCGTAGGATATTGTTTGAAACCTCACTAGGTGATATAATTATAAAATTAAGAATAATAAAGGATATCGATAGTATTATCGGATGGTTTCAACTGATAGCACAATTTATTAGCTATAGAGTACGGACGGCGACATGTCGGTGACATATTCACGACATTTTGTATGAACATCGATATTGTTGAAGCAATAATAATAACAGTGTACATTGTTGTAAATTCCGTTGCCGACGACGTCTGGCGGCGGTCGACGGTCGATGTCAATTCGGACATATCACGTAACAGCCAGTAGTTAATTTTGAAACTTCGATCGACCGCTGTTCCTTTACTATATTATTGTGTGTGTCGAGCTGGCAGCGCCACTGTGTTGGATTTTGAATGAATTCTTGTTACATCTAGTCCCTTATTTATAAGTTGTAAATATACACATAGTTTCGGAGATAAAATGACTTGACATTACATAATAAAGAGCTTCCAAAGTGCTAGAAGATAAGTTCTGGCTGACTGTCTCTAGACTCTCGTTCATCTCCGAAACTAGGTAACTTGGCTATTTGTCCATATTTCGTGACAGATTGATAAACTAGTGACTAGATGATCAAACATCTAAGAGGGTAGCGCTGCCAGCCGAACACACACTATTATTGTTACCCACTTTACTTTTGTTCCATAAATAAATAAACCATTCGAGTATGTATGTAGTTAATATTAATACGATGTGGCTTTACACGCCGAATAATTTTCGACCTCAAAAAATCAATAACCTTGGATAATAAAATTATAAAAAGAAGAACATGAAAAAATTACTGTGAGCATACAGTTAACAATAATAAACATATTTAATAAATAATCTAGGCTTAAGAAAATTGTAAATATAAATAAAGCCATAGTGTACGGAACGAAAGTGAAGAGAACATACGCAATATCCTTAGGATCTTCTTTTATCTAACACTCTAGTAAATAAAATAAAAACACAACTGTACGTCCAAATTGTCCATTTATATGTTATTGTACCTAATACAAATTACAGTAATGTAATCGTTAGAATGTATTTTAGTACACACGGTAAACGGTATGAGGTTGTAGCGATGTTGAGCCGCGCGGCTTCTAGCAAATCATTCGATTCTTGAGTTCATATTGATTGACTATTTGAAAACAACTTATTTTTACTGTACACGTAAGTTATTTCATATTTTAACTGAATAAATCGAAATGGTTATTATAAATGGCGTTTATATTTTACCCCATTTTAATCGTTTATTTATATTTTTTTCTTTCAGTTCTCTAATCAAACGAAACGAAATTAAAACACGCCGTTTGTACACACTGCAGCACATCAGGAAAACCTAAAAATGTCAAATTGCTACAATCGATTTTAAACTAAATTTTTAACACTTTTAATTACCTAGTTATCAGTAAGAAGAAAACAGCACTATCATAAAATATATTTTTCTCTTACCATGCATGATATTTTTTTGTTTAAGTTTTTGTGTTTCAATTATATTTAAGATGAAACTTTATGGTATTATTTCAGTCGTTTTTCTATATTACGATTATTTTTTTGTTTCTTATTTATATATTTTTTTAATATTAGACTTTGTCACCAATCCATATTACAACTTAACTACTACATAAGGTGTCCGTTTATTACAAGTTAGAATTATCCGGTAAATACATTCTTATATTTACCGGATTTTCTGTGATGATAGCAATTCCAACCTAACCTAACCTAATTTAATCACGATGTCAAATTAAACTGGATTGCGTACTGATATATTTCTTAAAATCAAACTAAGTTTAACTATTATAAAATAAGGCTTATTTTTCTATGTCACATTTCAGAGTAGAAAAACGGTCTACTAGAGATATGAGAGTAGCAGTAGGTGCTTGTCTAACAAGTTGCCATTGGAAAATTAAATAATCATTATTGGCAATTAATCAATCAATCAAAAATATTTATTTGGTAGATTAGGAGATTTTATTCATTTTTTAAAAACATCACTAGGTAATTTTATTTATTATCTAATAGTAAATATATTGAATAGACATAGTTGATATGTTTTTAAGTAAAAGTGTGAATGAATTAAAATTATAATGTAAACCGATGTCGTGTTAATAGTTTTTCGTTACGTTTAAGTGGCATTATTATAAATTAATATGGCCGCTCGATGTGAAAACATAAACTGTTAAATTTTGATGTTTATTTGTGTTTTGACTTACTAATTCGATAATTTTTATAAAAATGGTATATTGTTTTGTTTGGCTGATTGCAAAAATGAATGGTATCACGGATGTGACTTCACATTCCACATTATAAGCTGTTTTCCTTATTTATTAAACAGTGATGAAATAGGGTGCCTACGAACAAGAAACAAAACCATATCAAAGAGGCTTTGATTTAAATTAATATTCATACGTTTATATTGTAAACAGTCATTAGTTTTACTTACGCTACCCGCCATTCTTCGTTTTAATCTCTGTAAAATTTACTTGCTTAACATTACAGTAAAAATATTTATAAATAAGTTATAAAAATATTTATTAATAAGCTTGAATATTTTCACGGTAGGTACAAAGTTATTTGGAAAATGAAAAACGAGAACTAGCTTATTTATGTTTTAGAAAATATCTGAATGTCAGAATCTGGTCCCGGGCCCGACTTGGAGATGTGGCGGCCCTGATCTTTACCGATAAATAAAAACTAATTTATCGGTTAAATTTCTAACATCATCATTCATAATATCTGTAAAAATTTATAAAATTCTATCTGTAAATGTTTAAATAAGGTCATGTAACATTATTAAATATTACCTATTTATGAAATTATTAAAAACGCGTGGACATCCTACAAAACTACTAAGAGATGAAGAGTTACTAATTTACTCTCTCACTCTGCCCGTTTTTAATGAAACACTGCACAATTAATTAGTTTAATTTGACATTCGTGAATTTAATATAATCTAAAGATAATTAAAATTGTTATAGTCATTGCAAACGTCTCGTTTGCGAGATATCCATGGACAAACATACACAGGCATACATACATTACATACATCTATAAAATTAAAATTTTGCACAGGCTTCACAGACTAGTAAGGAGATACTACGTATACAGGCTTCTAAACAAGCCTATACAGACCATTTTGATACAAACGATATTTCTTAATGGAGTGCGGAATCGATTACCATTAATCGATTTTCAAATAATCACTTGCTATCGTTTATCACTTGCTATCGTTAACAATCGATTGTTTCTTTAAACGTTATAAACAATTGCTAAATAGTAATTGTTTATAACGTTAGTAGTAGTACTTACTTACTTTACTTCGATGGCTCAGCAATCCATAGCGGATCGCAAGTGTGAATATAAAGTCGATTTACTCTTTGGTCGGGGAACAAGAAACGTCTGTTCGAAACGATCAGCAAGGTTATAACTAAATTTCAAAATTACATAGACACGTACAGTTATTATACTATTTCTACTGATTTTGCATGTCGACGGCGGACGTCGAGCCATGTGTTAAGTTAATTCGTACGGTGGGTATGTGCTTTTTGGTTGTTACAATAATATTGTTAATAATAGATTGACTTCCTACACAATCTACTCTAGAAATCAGTTTTATTGAAATATATCATTTACTAAGTACCTAGTAGTCATGCTCCTACGATAACTACTAGTGTGCGTTAGGTCGTTGCTTTCCCTCAAAGAATAGTTGAAATTAAAAACGCCTAACGTCTTTCTTATTTTGTCTTTTTTTCTGTGTTCTGTGTTTTTGCACTTGCACCAATTTGTGACATCCTTCATAAATAGAGATATGACTAATATTATACATCTCTTTCTAACGCATTAACACGGCTCGTAAGGAAAAAAGATGATTTCATGTCTTTGCTTGCTATGTTAGGGTGGTTCCTATACTTTAGTTATTATTGAAAGAAGGTAATACTACCTTCTTTAGAGCGTTTAAATCTACAAGTGGCGACGATATTAGATTAAAAATTAGTTGTTATCAAAATTTATTTTGAATCATCATAATTTATCCTCAGAACTTGACACCGAGTTGGCAACACTGTATACTTTACTCTTTGAGTTTGTGTTTCTTTTTTATTACCTTAGTAAGTCTGTGTTTATTACGTCCTTTGCTCTTTGATTCAGTCAAGTTTTAATTTTGATTCACGCGTCTTATTTTTGAATGAATAGTTTTAGTTTAGTTATAATGTAAGGATTTGCGTATTCTCTATTAGTCTTAATATACTGAAAATAATATAAGTTAAAAATAACGCAATGAACTAGTTATCCATATCAAATGCTTACATTTTGTATCTGACAAAATGGCAGAAAAGGATAAATCAAAAGTGAATACTCAAACAAAATACATTCCGAAGGACGCTCAAGTGATAATGTCTATCATGAAAGAAGTGGGAATAACCGACTATGAACCTCGTATAGTGAATCAGCTTCTCGAATTTACATACAAGTACGTCACGTCGATATTAGATGATGCTCGTGTATTCGCTAATCATGCAAAAAAGAAGACTATAGACCTGGATGATGTGCGACTGGCAGTACAGATGCAACTAGACAAGTCTTTTACCAGCCCACCACCTCGAGAGGTGCTCTTGGAAATAGCCAGGGTGAAGAATGTAAATCCCTTACCACTTATAAAACCCCATTGTGGATTAAGATTGCCCCCTGACCGGTAAGACTAAGTAATGATAATAATTCTTTTTTTTTCTCTTCAAAAGGTACATTACACAGATAGTATCAGTATAGAATTTATATATAAGTGTATCATGTTAGAAATAATATGAGAGTTATTTTTGCATTATTACTGTGTCATTTCAGTTATTGTTTATCATCTTGTAACTACCGCATTAAGGCTACTGCCAAGAAAGTGGTTACAAAACCATCAGTACCAGCACCAATGCCAATCAAGACTGTCACTACAGCCAAACCATCTCCAAGCCAACAGAATGTTGTTGTGAAGCGTACCCCTGGAGCCATTGTTAATGTTTCATCATCTAAGCCTAATGTTATTCCAAAACCTGTGCTGAAATTTACATCTAGCAGTAAAGTAAGGATTATTTCATCTATTAAAAGAAGTTTCTGTATAGACAATAACCAAATGCCTAAATGCTGCTTTGTTAATTTCTTTTACATCGGCAAAGTTATTATATTTCTCTTGTCATAATTATTAACCATGAATTAAATAGTGTTTGGATTCAACAACAAAACAGAAATATTTTACATTGCTTGTTTCTCTCACACCCATTTTCACTAACCTACAACAAGGCATAGCTTAACTAGGAAACTCCTAATAGTACAGATTGTTTAAGCAGATTAATTTAATTCCAAATATTTTTATCTCTTGACATAATATAGGGATGAAATGTCATAAACGCAAATGTCTAGTGCAAGGTGCGGCATAACAAATATTGTAACCTTAGACATTGCTCAATTTCTTTAGGTGTTTTCTAGTCAAAGGTGAAATGAATTTTTACCTTTTGCAAATATTTGAGACGAAGTTTAGTGACAACGGGCATTATAGTTGGTACTTATATCAGTATACCCATTTTGTAGGTTGTTGCAAAACCAGCAGTTCGTGTAACAGCAGGACCATCTTCACAAGGACCAGTCAAAATGGAAGTAGATGACCAAACAACACAGAAAAGAAAGCGAGAGGATGATGACTATGACATATAATAATGAATTATTCTCTAAATAAGTTAAGATATTTTTTTAATGTTATGAAATATAGTTTTTTTTTCTTTTATGCAATAATTTATCATTCAATGCTTTTGACTTATTGAAAGGCATAATCGAGAAAAATATTTTTATTAATACATAAATGTTGGTAACAAAACCTTTTGATGAATATTATGCAGCATAATTTTAATTGTTAAATATTTATTTTTTTTCATACTTGTAAAAGCCTTCTCCAGTTTTTACTCCCAATTTCCCTTCAGCAACTAATTTATTTAAGAGAGGGATAGGTTTGAACAGTTGTTGGTCAGGGAACTTTTTGTGCCATCCATCTAAAATAAATTTATTGGTGTCTAGACCAACATAGTCAGCTAACTCTAGTGGACCCATGGGGTAGCCTGCTCCCAGCTTCATAGCAATGTCAATGTCACGAGCAGAAGCATCACCTATAAAAACATGGCTACTTAGGCAAAATACAATTAACAAAATTTATATACATATATTTGTATACAAATAATATGCACTATAGGCAGAATATTGATTTCTTATATTTTCACTATCCATATATGAAATAACTTTTAAACAGTTTCATAGCATTTGTATTTACTTTTATGACATTTCTGGACCCTTTACACCTTAGTCTTATGCGAACACAGAACCTGTAAAGGATCCAAAATGTCATAAAACTAAATACAAAAGCAATGAAACTGTTTAAAATTTGTTTCATTTGTTCTTGGATATCCAGATAATCCCTAGAAATGCCTAATGTTAATTCAATACAAGGCAGATCAATTAACTGTTAGATAAATATTACAATGATAAGTTATTGACTAGTGTATTTCTTATGTTTTTAATTCAAAGTCCTGTAACTAAAATTAAAGCAGTACCAGCACTTTGTTTACTAAAATGCTCTTTAGCCAGGGATACTTACCTCTTTCATAAAGCCTGATTGCTTCACATATGTATGGAACCAAGAGTCTGTTAACAACAAACCCAGGAGTATCTTTACAGGTGATACAAGTCTTGCCTACTGACTTGCCCCACTCCATCATGGATTTGTATGTTTCTTCTGATGTTTCAGCACCTTTAACTACTTCAAGGAGTCGCATCACAGGAACAGGGTTGAAGAAGTGAAGTCCTCCAAATCTATTATAACCACATGTTTGGTATTGAAATATGGAGTGATGAAGATTCTTTTCAAAATATTATATTTTGTTAGTAATATTTAATTATGATCCACTTAATTATATATTGATATATAGTTAATCAAATTAATGAATTAAAAAGTTATTATAGATTTTAGTTGCATATGCACATACTTATCCTTCCTCTTCACAACAGAACTAATTTCATTGATAGAGAGAGATGATGTGTTTGATGCAAGGATAGCATGCTGAGGAGCTGCCTATAAAAGAATCAAGTTTATTCATTAAATAGGAGTATAAATAAAAAAAAACTTGCATTATAAGTGATATATCACTTGCCTCATCAAGCTGTTTGAATAGTTTATGTTTGATGTCTATGTTTTCAACAATTGCTTCAACTACAAGATCTGCTGATTTAGATGCCTCTGCTGGGTCAGTTGCAGTTTTTATTCTGGCCATTGACTCTGCAACAAACTTCTCTCCGTCCTGTGGCTTATCTTTGTATATTTTTTTAGCAACACGACCCAAGTTTGCACCAATAGACTTTTGAGATTTTGCTAAGACATCTGAGTTAACATCTACAAGAATCACATTTTGTCCTGCTTGCGCTGCTACCTACAAATACAAATACATAATCAAAAACACCATGAACTAAACAAAGACATTGCTAAATTTTACTTGTATAATAATACAAGGGTTGCCAACTGTCCTGTTTTCCCTGGACATGTCTTCATTTTAGTAATGTCCTAAATAGTTATTGTTAAATTACCTGAATAAAAACTTCCTAATAAGCACATTAGTTCTTCTTATTTAACTAAACTATTATGGCTTTTTGTTTTATAACTGAATTTTTCTGACTCATTTGCTTCAATTCCTAGTTTTTAACAATGTTAGGCAACCCTATTCTATCATCAAGTGCAATTATGGTCACATTACCAGGAATCAGAGCTCGATGGAAAGAGTGGTAGGACAGGGATATATTGAAGGCAAGATATCAAGAGGCCTATCGCCTACACATAAGGCGTTAAAAGATCTTGTAAAATCATTAACTCGGATTACGGTGACTTAGAGCTCAAAGCGTAGAGAACCAGTAGATTTGATAAGATGTTGCCAGCCAAAGAAGCTACCTATAATTCTATATTTAGTTTTTGGTTTAACCGCACAGTTTTCTTCATAAACTACGATTCTTTACCTGTGCAATTCCAGAGCCCATCAATCCACCGCCTATGATGGTAACATTTTTAATTGCACTTTGTACAGTTGCCGAACTGGAAAACTTTCTTGCGATAATACCGAACTGCATGATTATTTAAAAAACTATATTACGTGAAATGCAGACTATATAATTAATTCCACTTTAAGTTAACTCTTGTAAAATGTAAGTAATGTACATAAGGTAAGAATTTAAGTAAGTCCGCTTGACACCTAGTTACAAAGCAATCCAAAGTTCACTCGCCGGGCGCGGCGCAGGCGCATCGAATCCACATCGAACACAAGGAGGGTTGCTATATTTTATAATAACAAAAAAGCTAGAGGATAGCAGCGAACATCGGTCGTGGATGGTGTTGCCAGTAGAAACCATTATACTATTTATCCATTCGTTGGTCATTCCGTTAATGAAATAGCTGAACGCAACGTTCTGCTATACGGCTGACTGAACAAAGGACAGCCAATTAATTAACTTTGGATTCACAGGGAACACCGATATTTATTGGTAGGATTAGAAGTGAAACAAAATAAATATTGTAGTGGGTGATTTTAAGTTCCTTATCTATCGAAAGCAGATTAAACAATGCATTTGACTGTGATTCTTTAAGTATGTTTATTACCATTTCAAAGTTTAATCCTACAATAGTTAATAACATAAAATGATAAATAACGAAGTTATTTTGGTCCTGTAGTTCACATGATAAGTTAGTTTAAGATTAAAAGCGTAGTGTATATGTCGCAGTCAAGTGGTATAACCGACTAGCCCTTTAATTACCACTTATTATACGCCTTGGCTGCAACCGGCTGCGTGCTACATATGGATTACATCTGAACACAGAACATTATTTATGTAAAATTATTTATTAACGTTTTTTCATATTCTTATATTTTTTTCTCTGATACTAATCATATTTTGAATTTGAATATTTACGTTAAAGTATTCCTATAAAATACAACAACTCCAATTAAAGCACGTTTTAATAAAAACTAAAAGAAATATTATCCAAGAATAGATATGTTGGCTAGATCCCATCGTCTTTATTCAATAAAAAAAAAGTAATTTTATTTATCTGTCAGTGTCAGTCAACTTCATGTTGTTCTGATGTGATTTTTTGTTTTTATCTCAGGCGGTTTATCTTTTCACTAAAAATAGGAGGGTAAAGTTGTTTCAACTCAAGTTATATAGCCAGTTGAAGGTTAAGTGGGTACTTGTTATGGAGACAACAAGATATCACGATGTAAAGTGTACGTACATACCTATAACACCTTTTTTGTTTTGTCATCGATGATAATATTGTACAATCGTTATAGATAAGAGTTAATAGTACCTAGTTCATTCGTAATATTTTTTTTATCGTAAGCTTTAGTAGTTTCATTGTTGAACTGGTATAGGCGCCAACTGGTTAACTCACTATTACCTTTTTTTGGTGATTTTAAATTCCAAAATGATTAAATTAGTCGGCTTATCACGAGCATTTTCGAGTTCCTCTTCTATGAACTCAATAAAAACACTAACTGTGGTTGGCGGCGGCCTTATGGGCTCGGGTATCGCTCAGGTAAGTTTAGTCTGCATAACATATTTATTATGCTGGTGATAATTTATGAATGATCTTTGTACTTTGATGAAAGTACCATATTGACTTTAGATGTTAATTATATTCAAGATATTTCTTAAAGGTATGTACTTTTATTTTAAAGTTGTTTTATCATTTGCTACTAAATATAACTTCTTCAATATTGTTATTTTACAAACTTTTGACTAAATTTGCACTATATACTATATTTTGAGTATAGTGCAATAAATTAGCATATTTTAATAGATACCTAAGCATTTGTTACTATTATTTGTATTGTATTAAAATTATACATACAGGTAGCAGCTCAAGCAGGTCAAGAAGTGATAATTGTTGATGTCAAACCAGAGTTGTTGGATAAAGCACAGAAATCTATACATACAAATTTGACCAGGGTTGGTAAGAAGCTCTATAAAGATGAGTCTGCTAAAATTGAGAAATTTGTAAGTGAGTCATTTAACAAGATAAAGGTCTCCACTAATATAGAAGATGGAGCAAAATCTGATCTCATCATTGAAGCAATAGTAGAGCAGCTGAAACCAAAACAAGAGCTGTTCAAAAAACTAGATGAGGTACCTACTGTGATTCTTTATTATTCAATTTATCAACATTTGACTATGTTATTACTACAAACAATTAATTCTATGTTTTTCAAGTAAATGCATTAAAAAGATGAGGTAAAAAAAAATTTAGAAAAGATCAAAATTGACATTGCATATTGTTTGGATTATATCCTGTGTTATAAATCGAGCTTACATTTTCACTTACACTTGTTTTATTGGGGTCCTCATAAAATAAATACTATTTTGTATCAAAATTTGTTTATAATAAAATGTCACAGTAAAACTAAACCTGATTTGATACTTCTATTCTAATAGACAACATTGAATTAGTTTATTTATATGTTGTATTTGATGTAGGTAATAGCAATTCGGACAGTTGTAAAACTTTTCCTATTTTATTTTTGCTTTGGATGTCATTGATTTATTACAAATGCCAGTTTTACCTCTTCTGAGGTGAAACAGGTGAAAAAAAAAAAATTGGCTGACAATCATGTATCTGTTTTTTTCAGCTGTCTCCTGCACACACCATATTTGCTACCAATACTTCATCAATTTCGGTCAATGAAATAGGAGCTGATATCAAAAGAAAGGACAGGTGTGTATTTTCTTCTATCTAAATCTTTACATGCATAATAAACATTGAGATATAAAATGTTAAACTATGGTATTGCTTATATGGTGAATAGTTTCACACATACATGTCTAACTGACACAAGTTTTCCAGGTTTGGTGGTTTACATTTTTTCAACCCTGTACCAGTGATGCGTCTCCTGGAGGTGATCAAGTGTGATGAAACATCTTAGGCGACATATGACGCCATGATGCTGTGGGGCAAAACCATCGGCAAGACCTGCATCACCTGTAAAGACACCCCAGGCTTTGTTGTCAACCGCTTACTTGGACCTTACAGTGCAGAAGCTATAAGACAGTATGAGAGAGGTTAGTTAGTTCATGGCCATGTTTTGATATATCAAAACTTTAAATTATACGTACATCATCTGCCCCTGTTCATCACTTCTGGACACTGATAAATCTGACATTTCAAGAATTGAGAAACAGTGTTTTAAATCATGTTGCCATGTTTCTCCTTTTCTGTGCTCTTTTAGGACATTGATAAAGACAATACAAAAGGTCAATTTGTGCAATAAAATAGCATTGTTACCCTTTTTTATTTCTAAAGGTTCAATAAGTTTAGACTATCACAACTATATTTTATTTTCAATATTTCTGTTATGATATGTAGCAGGTATATGCAGTAGGGGGGGGGGGGGGGGGGTTGTTGGAGATATCCCAGCTGGATGTTTTATATCTAGTGTTGATGCCCCAGAACTTGCTGACTGGCATGGTTATGAATGTGGCTGGTTGAATTTTCTTCTATCAGTGTGTTTTCTACTTGAGTACATACCTTCCATTTAAAGACAACTAGGAAGGGAGAGCAGACACTAATCCACGGGTGGGTAAAGCCTTAATAATTATTATAGAAAAGGTTAGTATAGTGGAAAATGCTGAACCATACATGCAGATAAGTGTGTTTGTCCCTCAGTGTTACAAGATATTTACAAAATATGTATGTATTAATATTGTATTATTATTTCTTCAAATATCTCACTTTAAATGTTTCCCCTTTTTTTAAACCAACAAGAGTAGTAATCGGCATTTTTTTCAACACAAAATAGTCTGCCATCTAAGAAGGGCTAGGTAATGCACACTAACTAAAATGTTAACGTTAATACATTCACTATATGAACGCACACGCCAAAGTTGATCGATATCGATAAATTTATAGATAGATAACTTCTTTATTTGTATTAGTTGTATATTGCATTCTTTAGTTGCACACGTATTCGTATATATCTATTCTAATATTATAAAGAGTTAAGATTTCACTGTTTGTTTGTTCGCACTGAATATGCTCCGAAACTACAGAAACTATTTTAAAAATACTTTCACGTACGGGAATCTACATCATACACAGTTGATATAGGCTCTTACTTACCCGGATCAAGTAGCGACGAAACAACTAATCATAAAATATACATTGAAAAAAAAAGAGGAAAATAACTCGGATATAACTAAAATAATAGCATGTGTGCAGCAGCGATGCAAATGGGCTAAAACTTAGTGGATATTTACTCAAAGAGCAAAGTAAATTGTGGTACAAATGACTCAGAATTCCGATATTGGTGACACCCAATATCAAAAACAGTATATAATTAAAAATCTTCCGATATCACCTATAAGTAATAATAAAATACCAGTGAAATAAATAATATTAAATTTTAGAAATAAAAACAACAAAAATAATTAATGAATCCCTAATATTAATTATGCTATTAGTTATCTTAATATTAATGAACTAGCTGTTCGCGACTACGTCCGTGTAAATTAAAGATATAACTCGTCCGTGTATAATGAATCACCCATTAGTCGAAAGAATTTTTATCATTGGTTCAGTAGTTGCATTTCATTGGATACAAACAAACAATCAAATCATTCCTCTTTATTATATATTATTAGATATATTAAATGTTGTAATACCTAAATAAATACAATGCTGTATATGCATTACATTTTTTACCTATAAAATTCACCAAACTACAAATGCGATTAAAACCTTTTTTTTATATATAAAAAACCTTAGCTGCCGTTCTCCCAAAACATAACATATTGTTGTTTGATGAGAACTGATTGATAAATATTAAATTCACCCTAAATTCTAAACCAAGTCCACGAAGGCGTCCGTGATAAAGATTCCTAGAAGTGTAGGTGATCCTTGTTTTAGTAGAATGCCAACAAGATAAATTCGATATCGATATACGATTGTGATGTCCCTTATTCAATATACCTAGTTTTAAATACTGAAAAATGTTAATATTTTCTATTCAGTTTCTTCATAGCATACCAATATAAAACAATGCGCTATACTTACGCATTATTAATAATAATAATTGTCTTCAACAGTAATGTATTTAATAAATATAAATACATTATTAAAAAGTTATCTATCATGCTTCAACTAAGGTAAAATTCAATATAGTTAAAAAAAAAAAAGAAACTGGTATGTCACTCGATTGCATAAATTACCCCCACAGTAAGTTTTAGTGCAATATCAGAGCAACACTTAAAGATTCGCAGTGATTCATTATCAATCCGAATATTTCTTTCTTAATTACATAACAAACCCCCAAAATATAACACAGTACATAGAAAGTAATATTCGTTGGTAAAAATTCAAACGTTACGGCAGTAGTACTTAAATATAACGAAGTTAAAAGGAAAACTGTCACACTTGAGTTGACCTACCGTTGGATAACCCGCAACTGGCCCGTTTTGTACATGTATACACGGTTACACTACTAATAAGTAAGTTGTTAATCCTTGTAAGCAAATGTAGTCACTCCCTGACAAAGATAATCTTCGCATGGAAATCTCCAGTGTAAATCGAATTCGTATTGAGTACATGTAAATGGCAAGTGTTAGTGCCAAATGAATACACTCAGTGCCACCAATATATAAGAAACTAAGATTTTAAGATATTCTAAAATAGAACAGGTCACTGCTGTTTTGTTTGTTTTTAAAGTTATAAAATAAATTTTCAACAGTAACCTGAAAGTCGACTTGTCCATACAGTTCTGAATATGTAGTCACATAACTAAACTTTAATTTGTAGGTGACGCTACAAAAGAAGACATCGACATTGGCATGAAGTTAGGCGCGGGTTACCCGATGGGTCCGTTCGAGTTGGCCGACTATACCGGGCTGGACACCAACAAGTTTGCATTGCAGGTCATGTACGAGAAGACGAAGAATCCAGTGTTCGAACCTATCGCTCTCCTCGACAAAATGGTTGCCGAGGGGAAGCTGGGCATCAAGAGTGGAGAAGGTTTCTATAAATACAAGAAATGAATGTTTTTTTAATTTTACTTTACTTCAGTCATTTATAATGTATGTATAAAATTGTAAAACACTAACTGTCCCGTGTTTTGGTACTTTAAAGATTAAAAGTTTGTATGTCAAAATGTTACATTTTTATCATCTTGTTTGTATAAATAGAGACTACAAATACTGAAAAATTACTTTAAGCGAGTGAAACGTTTTTATAAATAACGTGATCGATGGTGGATCAAAAAAATAAAAACTAAAATTCTATGATTAGTTGGATTAATATGAAAACTCGAATCTTGTTGCAAAAAGCAGTTTTTAATATTAAATTGTAGAGCGGTCACCACGCAATGATACTTTCGAAAAGTATTACATATAAGATTCATGATAAATATTTAAAAAAATGTGCTGATTTTTCACAAGCTCCCAATGAAGAACCTAATAAGCTCCATTTTGTAATAGGAGACAGTTGATATACGTACAATTTTGTGCCTTACAATTGATAGCAGTAGTATTTTTTTAGATCCTGTGTTGCTATGTGTACATGGATTTAATGTGGTTTTATTCTGCAATATTTGAGATTTAAATAATATTCAAATTATATGACAATTATTAGAAGACTGGTACATAATCCACACTCGAAATATATTTTTTGATCCTGTGTTTATTAGGTTCTTTCTACTTTACTTACTGTGATTCCATTGCTCAATTTATATTAAGCTTTATTTGTCAGCTATAACATTGAGTTTGTGCAGGACACTTTTACAAATAATAATTGGAATAGAACTGTTGCTCTTATTTGCTCCGATATTCATTGATATAATTTCACATTTATTTCAGTGAAATCATACTCAAATGTACGCATTTTAAGTGTGATATAAATTAAAATTATATTTTTTAAGATTTTGTACAACCCAATCATGTCATATTATTACATATATACATTTAAATAAATTATTATTACTGTTTGTATGTTTTTTATTTATTATACATATGCAATATCACCATTTAAAAAAGCGTTGAATACATACGTGTATGGTAGACATGTTATTAAGAGTCCAATGATAATTCACGTTAAATAAGCAACATGGTGGTAATCAAATTCAAATTCAAATTCATTTATTCGGCGCATGCACATAGGACACTAAAATATAATAATTTATCACATTAATACATATTACAATAAACATTAGATTAAACGTACAATTACAAGCAATAAGATATTTAACATTATTCAACATTTAAATAATAAAATAAATAATATATAATCAAAATATGCCTTTGTGGTAATGCACGAGGTAAACATTGATAAAATATATAATTTTTGAAAGTCGCCGGCGTTTCACCATGTCTCTCGGGGAACACGAACTAATCGATGGCTCAGTAATTAGTGAGTTCGGCCTGTAATTGCTGAGGTTACGCGGGTTTTGTAAACACTGTCGACGCATGAGTGGCTAAAATGTACTGTTTCAAACTCCCCCGTCCATCCTCAGAAGACTCTTGGCTGCTTCTGCTGTTAGGACTATGACAATCGATGATTGTGATTATTATAAGGCTGATGATGGAGTACTGATGGGGGGCGGGGGGATGCTTGTAATAACTACCCAAACGCAATATATTGCACACTTCTTGGATATAATATCAAACTGTGTGGTGTTCGTCTCAGTCACCTCAAACGATTATTCACTAAATAAATACTCGTGTGAACGACACCTTTTATCGGTATCGTTCACACGTTACAAATAAAATTGTTAAGTGAAATATATTTATATCATTTGTTAATACCTTGTCCGATAGAAGGGATTATAGCACGTCATAAAACCATTGAACTTTGTAGTTAATATCAAGCACAAGGAAATTAATTTTGCATTGATAATAAAATAATAGAAAAAAAAAATATCCCTAGTACCTATGTATATAAAAAATATATTTTAACAGTAATCCTTTACAATTTGATTATTAGGAAACAATAGAATCCCTTTGCTGTGGAAAACAATAGAATCTGAGAAGACTGGGGATATTTCGGTAAACATTCTATGGTGTTGGATCATAAAATGTTTTCCGAAATATATGATACATTGAGATCACGTCGTAGCGTGCCTTAACGGGTCACCGTATAAAAATTTGTATGGGACCCTTATGAAAGGTAAAGATTTTATTTTTTTTATTTTTAAAGGTAAAGCGAAAGACAAAGGAAAAAGATGTTTGCATAAACTATGCGAATTTTAATCGTATGTACACCGATTATTGTGGGATTCCTCCGTTGAATAATAAATAAATGACTTAAACTGAGAAATCCCGCAGCCCGCGTGTAACCGATGTAGGGTGTTGGCAAATTTGAATCGCACGCTTTACGCGGGAAAAGTTTCTTTATATTGTTTTTTTTTTACTTTTTTTATTCCTGCTATAAAAAGAAAATTCCCGTAGTAAGAAAGTCCCGTATCCTGGGGGCCCCGTATAATTGATACGGCAGTTAAAGATGTAGCTACCCCCCTGCGAATGATACCCCCCTGAAAATGCATATCTATACCTTATTTAAACATAAGATTAAGCTTGTAGGTAATATAATACCGCCATGCAAATCGAAGTTTCACTTGACAGTTATGGTTCAAAGAAAATTAAAATTTATTACATTAGACCAATTTTGCATTCATAACACCAATGTATTTATCATAAAGAAAAATGACTAAAAAGATTCACCAACCCCAATTGCCCGACATTGGATTTAGACTGATCAGATCACCTATGGCAATCTAACCATTGAACTATCTCACTGGTCTCATTTCTGCTAATTTTACGTTAAAATTGCGTCTCGATAGAGTCTCCACTACATAGTAGTATTGCGCCATTGACCATTTAAAAAAACTGTTATAGATATTTGTTGGTGCCTTTGAATTTCCTCATTTACTTTAACATAGCATCAACGCACCTACAGGACTGACGAATTTCTCCAGAAATATAATCTAAAGTTAGATTTTTTTTAAATCATGTAAGTAAAGTGTTTTTCTTTAACATAATATGTACCTATTTATTTCATCAACAGGAGATGCCTCTGCGGAGGATATCGACACGGCCATGAAGCTAGGAGCCGGCTACCCGATGGGTCCTCTACAGCTGGCCGACTACACGGGCCTAGACACGAAGAAGGCGGTGCTCGCAGTGTTGTACCAGAAGACGGGCGACCCAGTGTTCAGACCCATACCGCTATTAGATAAATTGGTCGCCGAAGGAAAACTGGGGAGGAAAACGGGCCAAGGGTTCTATAAATACAATCAAAACGGCAAACTGTGATGTAGGATTAGTCCTTATTAAAATTTAATTGTAACCGATAATGTAAGGTATGTATACCTATACAGCACTTCAGATTAATACAAGTGTTTAACATAATTGTAAACAGATTAAATATAAAATCGTTTGGAGAAACGTTACTATCCCTGATCACCGAAGTTTTGGGGTTAAAATCATTGCCTTCACAGCTGTTGTGAAAAATAAAATAAACAATGTACTATATTGTTAAGTATGATTAGAAAATAAACCTTGTAATTATGTTACCATTGTTTCATTGATGCTACATACCTATCTATTATCATTTAATAAAACTTAATTTATCAATAGCCCATGTAAAACAGTATATCTACAAATATATATAATGCGAATAATATGTCATAAGAAAATGTTAGATAAAGTCGGGCGTCAATCTTGATTTATGAATCGATTAGATAAACCGTTAACACTATTAAGTGTAGTCATGATTCTTAATAGTATCAAATTACCCGCGAATATATTGCAAAGGGACACAAGTCATTATTGTTAAATAAAATTTGATATTGTCACGCTGAAGTCGAGGGCGTTTTGCATTTGTGTTGGGATTTTTTTCTGTGCGGATAATAAAATTATCTAGGTATGTAATACTCTTTATTTATAGGTGGCCTGATACTTACAACTAGATATCTTTATATGTTGATTCCATTTATCTATATTTATTTACCTATCTATAAATTGAACATGGTTTAAATTTTAAAGGGTTTCCAATTGTATTTTAATACGATTAAAGTAGATAATCGATTGTAGACACCTAAATATATAAATAAATTATGGACCACGATTTATAACACATGAAGTTACACTTGTTGATTTAGTATGGTATAAATGTAAGAACGCGATAAGATAATATAAAGCTGAATATGAGAAATATTAATAATATTTCATTTATTTTACTTATTTATCAAAAAGTTTGATGCCAAGTTTATATAATTTCATTTATTATTCTATTGCAGTTTAAACATATTTATTTTTATTTAAGCTATATTACATGGCGCACCAGTACAGTTACGCCTCAGCTCTGCTATATAGCTCTAAGCAAAACGAATCATTTGTTTGGGCAGTCAATATACATTTATTAAATTCATTCGATATACATTCTTAGTCATAAAGATATTTAGGCTATTAACAGGAAAATTAAACGTTAATTAAATAAATTTAGGACCGTCTGAGACTGGTCATATTAATGTATTACATTTATACGAATACCGTTGACCATTTTGTGTACAATCATATTCAACATACATTATTGTTGTGTGAAAATTGTACCTAAGTAGTTCACTTTTAACAATTATAATAAAAAGAAACATCTTTTATCCAGGTCCCCAACTAAATGAGTGATGTGGCTAATCCAAAGAAAACTACAAGAGTACGTCGGCAGCGGTCTATATATCAGGTGCACTACTGCCTGGAGCGGCGCTGCGCCGAGGAGATGAAGCCGCTGGTGCTGACCAGCGACCTGGATGTGCAGGCGTACCATTCGCAGGTGGCCGGGCACAAGAACACCGACCAATACAAATATACAGGTGACCAGAACTCACCACTACAGCATTATTGAATTTTAAGCGCTCAATGTGTATGAATGTATGTAAACATTCAGACCGGAAATTGAACTTGAATATCAGAAATACGTAATCGCCGATTGATATTTAACTCTACGTAATCATACTAGCTATTAACCCTCGTAAGTTATAGCCTATGGAACCCGCGTATGATGTACCTTTCCGTAGTTGAAACAAAAATCCATTCGGAACCTATTTGATGCAAACAAACAATATTTTTCTCTTTGTAATATTAGTACCTATAGGTATAATACTTATTACATGTCAATAGGGATGATGACTAATTTTTGTTTGTTTGTCCGTCAGGTAGAGTGTTAAAAAATATTAAACACGTATGTTTTTATTTTTTTCGTAATCATAAAATTACGGCGTTACATTGAGTTGAAATTCCGCATGACGTCACGTTAAAGTACGTTTTCTACTCAACTGTGACGTAGCGAGCCCCCACTCCTCAACTTTAATGCCTGTTATCTATTTACTATTTACTATTTCTTGTTAAATTGAAGTAAAAAAAATACGTATCTAATATTTTTATATTATCTGACTGACGGACTAAATAGAATTGCATTTTTTACCCAGTCATAATCTCTATTATCAGCATACATCTAGGTATATTGACATATAGTAAAAACTAAATAGATATATTTACGGGTAAAGTTAGGTAGCTTAAACCGATAAACATAGGTTAAGTTAATTCAACTTAACCTATGTTTATCGGTTTAATCTCAAGTTTATGTTGACGAATAACTCTAGTCGTAACATGTAAAAAATACTCTAGATGCCACATTGCACAGGACCCTTTAGTACTGTACAATAGAATTCTTCAATGTCAAAATGAAACATCTTTATGTGCAACCAGTTTCGACTTTTCCACCACTATAAAAGCATTGTGTTTAAAATATGGCACGGCTATTCCATACTTCTCGAAAAATGAATACCAAAAAGGCGTCAATAACTCTTCGTCGTTGGTGGTAAGGCTGTCTGATAAACACTCGGTGTCAAGTACCGACTGTCACCTAGAGTAGCCTTATAATTTGCTAAGGGCAAATTGTAGCCCAAGGTCAAACTAACAAGACTTAAGCCAGCTCCCGTACTGGTTCAACGCGAAGAAACGGACGCCCACAGAAATTAGCTCATATCTGTATATATACAAAACTATTTTAAAAACTTTATTATCGTGATTTAGAAATTTACCTGCATTTTGGGTGTATAATACACAAGGGTAGGGTGTGTTTTTTCTGTAGCTATTGTTTTTTTTCTAACGCACCCAATTTTTGCTTGGATAAAGGAACAGGACGCCCGCACTGCGCGCTCCTCGCATATCTCTGTCTATTTGGACCACATTGAAAGTATTTGAAATCTGATATAATATATAAATTAAATTTTGGTATTTTATTATAAGACCAAAATTAGACTTAGTTTACCATTTTTCTTACAAAAAAGTTGCTCTTCAGTGAATTCCTCAAAATCCTTCTTTGGAGCATGACCCACGCGAGTTCTATGGGGTTTAAGTCTGGTGATTGCGCGCACCCCTCTAAGACACATAAATCGTGCTCCTGCAGCCAGCTAGTGACCACTCGCGCTGTGCGAGGACGAGCATTGTCGTGCATGAGCGTGAATTCTTGACCCATTTGTAGTCGATGTGGGTAGACTATTGGTACTAGCACTTGGTTGAGGTATTTTTCAGCGGTCATGGTGTTTCTGATCCAAACGAGGTCTGTTCTTCCACCAACGCGAATTCCCGCCCAAACCATAATCTTCCCGCCATGGTATGGATGGACTTCCTGAGGGTGTTGCAGGCGGCTCTCATGACTAGGAGGTCGCCATACGCGTACTCTTCGCGAATCAGGATGGAAAGCGAATCGATAGTCATCGGTAAACAGCACTATAGACCACTGACTACCTTCCCAGAGCAAATGTTCACGAGCCCACTGTAATCTTCTTCCACGATTTCCTCGGCGTAGTGCAGGAGTACGAAACGGTCTGCGAGCATGAAGATTAGCTTCATGCAGTCTTCTCCTCACAGTTTGGTCACTCACAAGCAACTGGTACTCTGACTGGAGCCTTTGAACCTGCATGGCCGTACGATTTGGTTGCCTTCTCACAGCAATTTGCAAAAATCGGTCTTGTCGTTGGGTGGTTTTGCTCTTCCCGCCTAGTTGTTGTAGAGGCGATATTAGTGTAAATAATACGAGAGCTCGATGAATACGGCACTAATAATTAGCAACAAGTTCATATGTATTTATATATATATACTAGCTTTCGCTTGGTTGCCCCGGGCTGCGAGCAGCCCGGGGAGGTCACGAGTAGCTAGTGGAATCGGGGCGGTGGGGTTTTAAGTCCGCCTATTGTTATGTCGGGTTTACAGTTTGAAATTGCCTAGAAAAGGTCAGTAAGTTCTATCTTCAAATAAAAGGTGTAAAAGGACACAAAGCATCATAAATCAAAGAAAAAGTGTTGCCAGTTGACACTTAATAGAAAAAAAAATATTCAAGCAAAAGCAAAACTTAAAATAAATTTTGTATAGATACTTAAAATAAGTTTTGTGTTTTATTCTCTTATTCTTATTTATTAGTAAATTACTGTATAATATTTAAAAAACAATCGAACATATATTTCCATCAGTGTTACTATCATTAATTAATCAATTAAATGTCAATTGCATTATTACAATACATTATTTATGTAAGATTTATTTATTATATGAAAAGGGAACCGATGTCGTGGCCAGATATTAGAATAGATTAATTCACGACGCGATGGGGTTTTAAGTCCGCCTTCGTTTCAGAATAGAAGCTTTCGCTTGGTTGCCTCGGGCTGCGAGTAGCCCGGGCAGGAGGTCACGAGTAGCTAGTGGAATCGGGGCGGTGGGGTTTTAAGTCCGCCTATTGTTATGTCGGGTTTACAGTTTGAAATTGCCTAGAAAAGGTCAGTAAGTTCTATCTTCAAATAAAAGGTGTAAAAGGACACAAAGCATCATAAATCAAAGAAAAAGTGTTGCCAGTTGACACTTAATAGAAAAAAAAATATTCAAGCAAAAGCAAAACTTAAAATAAATTTTGTATAGATACTTAAAATAAGTTTTGTGTTTTATTCTCTTATTCTTATTTATTAGTAAATTACTGTATAATATTTAAAAAACAATCGAACATATATTTCCATCAGTGTTACTATCATTAATTAATCAATTAAATGTCAATTGCATTATTACAATACATTATTTATGTAAGATTTATTTATTATATGAAAAGGGAACCGATGTCGTGGCCAGATATTAGAATAGATTAATTCACGACGCGATGGGGTTTTAAGTCCGCCTTCGTTTCAGAATAGAAGCTTTCGCTTGGTTGCCTCGGGCTGCGAGCAGCCCGGGCAGGTCACGAGTAGCTAGTGGAATCGGGGCGGTGGGGTTTTAAGTCCGCCTTCGTTGCAGAATTTGAGGTTTTCGATTTTTTTTTTTGTTTTTTGTTTTATAGTTTGAAATCGCCTTCAAAAAGTTAGTAAGTTCTGTCATCAAATGAAAGGTGTTTAAGCACCATACAATAAAGAAAAAGGGTTGCCAGTTTACGCTTAACAGAAAAAGAAATATTCAGTCGAAAGACGCAAGCAAAACTCTAAATAAATTATAGTCTCTTATTCTTATGAAATATATTTTAAGTATTAAGTATTAAATATAGTGTTAAAAATTGGATTTCTTTTCTCCATACTTACCTATGTGAAAGTGTGAGTAAAGATACCTACACAAATGGTCCATATATACACGCTATAAAGATCCCGAATTTTCAAGTCCATCGAAATCAAAATTGAAATTAAAATGGTCACGATCATCTTTTAAACATTATAAACCAAATGTTACCATCAACAAAAGCGATTCGTTTCTGGCACTTCGCCGGCCGCTGCCGCGGCACGCTCGCTACGCTCGCTCGGCTCGTGCGTTTGTTTTTCGTACACTAACCTAACCTAACCCATATGTCATAATAAACCTATACAAGTTTTTGTTGCTTTACTTATTGTAAAGTTCTTGAGCATAAACGAGTCGCTTGTGGGATCGTAGTGGTGGGGTTTTAAGTCCGCCTCTTGTTATGTTTACAGTTTGAAATTGCCTAGAAAAAGTTAGTTAGTTCTATCTTCAAATAAAAGATCTTTAATTACGCAAAACATCATACATAAAAAAAGATTGCCAGTTTACACGCAATATAAAATGAAATATTCAGTTAAAAAACGTAAGAAAACTTAAAATAAATGTTGTATACATCGCTTTAAAGTATAAAGTATTCTTATTCAATAGAAAATTTCCTAAAAATCGCAGTATTAAAAAAAAATAGTTTTTTATCATCCTTCAACTGAATAATTTTTTTTTCTGTAGGTAATCTGAAAAATTTTATCAATAACGCCAAAATAATACATTTTCTAGATAAAATGGAAGCTCTCTTAGAAACCTACCAATTAACCAAATATCTCTTAACAGTTACTCCTTATGGCTCGCTTCGCTCGCTTTTTGTTTTATTGACAGCTCTAATCTAACTGATTGATCAGGCCTCTATTGATGGTGTTCTTTAAGGCTCGCTTCGCTCGCATTTTATTTCTAACCTTACCAATTAACCAAATCTCTCTTAATGGTTACTCTTTATGGCTCGCTTCGCTCGCATTTTGTTTTAGTCACAGTGCTCACATAACCGATTGATCAGGTCTCTTTTAATGATCTCGCATTTTGGCTCGCTTTGCTCGCTCTTTATTTTGGTCACAGTCCCTTAAATGATTGACCAGGTCTCCATTTATTATGGCTCGCTTCGCTCGCCTTTTGTTTTATTCACAGTTCTAATCTAACTGATTGATCAGATTTCTATTGATGGTGTTCTTTAGGGCTCGCTTCGCTCGCATTTTATTTTAGTCACAGTTCTAACCTTACCAATTAATCTAATCTCTCTAAATGGTCACCCTTTATGGCTCGCTTCGCTCGCTTTTTGTTTTAGTCACAGTTCTAATCTAACTGAATGACAATATCTCGCTCGCTTTATTTTTCTGGCAAAAATATTGGAATTTTTTTCTCACCACGTAAAGATTGGGTAAAGATACACAAACGGTCTATATATGCTATAAAGTTCCCGAGTCGCCAACTCGGTCAGAATCATTCTGAAATTTATATGGTTATACTATCAGTGTTGCTAGTCGATCACTCAAATTATTCCAACAATTATGTTATAAATGCAACAGTAAAATTTTTGTTAAACCGTAAAATCATTGTAAAGAAATGTTTTCATATTTTTCATAAATGACATACATGAAAGTTTCTCAAAAACCTAGGTATCAAAAAAATTTTCAGTTTTTTTTTCATCTGGCAACACTTCAGCTTATGTTTTTTTTTTGTTATCTGAAAAATGTTATCATATCATGCGCAAAAATCAGTTCTATAAAGTAAAAGTAGTGAAAAATGATCAATTTTGTAGACAAAATGGTCGCAGTTTAAGCCGCCATCTTGAATTTTGAAATTTCAACACTATACCCGTGTAGCACACCTATTAGCACATCCAACGCAGTTTCTATTATTTTCCTAGCAGCGATAATGACTGCGCTAGAGTCCGAAACGTGAATAGTAGGCATTGAACTTTCAAACCGCCGTAGCTGCCGGGGTTGCCAGGTGTAGGCGATAAAAACAGTGAAATGTGATTTCGGGATGCGCCCTCCATCGACCAATACCAATTTTCAAGTTCTAAAATTGTTCCTTTGACATTTACAGTTTTTGGGGTAAATCTCAAAAGCTACCCTAAAATCGGGTAATTTTTTTCCACCATATGAAAGACTCTATAGAGATGCACAATCGCTCCATACATGCCAAATACCTGCGGGGTTGCCAAGTCGGTCAAAATCGAGGTTGAATTTTAAACGTTGTTTGCTCTCAGTGTTGCCAGTCGATCGTTCTATTTTTCCATCGGGTGTCTTGAAAAGTTAAAATTAAAATATTTGTATCGAAAAAAATTCAAAATTCAACAAAAAGTGTTTCCTCAAAAATCTCATAAAGTATCAA